TACAGCACCAGTGAGGCAGACTACAGATGCGTGGGGCGGGACCCTCCTCCCACAGTCCACACCTCACACTGGAGCTGGAGGTCGACCTCCCTCCCTCCACCAGCTCCAAGAGGCTGAGGCACAGCTCCAGGTGGGGGAGACCTAGGTTAAGCGAGAGGTTTGGAAGTGGCCTGGCCTGGACCTCCTAACACTGGGAAGGGAGCCATAACCGCCAAACCTGATTGTCCCAAGACTCTGGCCTCGCAGGCAGACAAGGAGGCCTGGCCGTGCCTGGTGGGATGTGGTGGGTGGGGTGACAAGAACCCTGAGTTGCGAAGGCTCTCTGTAAAGTTCAGCTCTCACGATGGTAGGAGCAGCCCTGTACAGCCAGCAAGAATCGTTCTGTGCTCAGCAGCGCGAAAAGCAGTTGAAGGAACCATGGTGCAGGTTCCAGAGCCATGTCCTGCGAGCCCAGCTGGTTCACTATGGACACCCTGCTCCCTTCTCAGAGGACTAGAAGGGTCTATCACTCATCAACTCATCTAGTTAGCTATCTTTCTATATCCCAATGTTAATAATAATTATGTCTAGGTAATAGAATCATGAGAATTATTTTTAAATATTAAAAAATATTTTTACAATAAATATGCATTACTTAATAAGAAGTTTTCAAGTTAAAGGGAGATGCCTGCCTGAGGTGGTGCCCTCTTGCACACACGAGCTCCCTTGGTCCCTGGGAGCTGCCTGCTCAGGAAGATGTGGGCTGAGGTGGAGGGATGGGTGCCCACAGGATGGGTCGGGGTGGGGGCGAAGGTGGGTACGGGGGTGAGAAGCAGCACTTGCCCTGGTCTCGGGCGCCAGGCCTCCACACACGCGCGCTGCCAGCTCGGGGCCGTGGTGGCTCCGTCCCTCCTGGGGGCTGGGTGGCCGACTGCAGGCCAGAGGCCACCTCACTTCGGAGCTGGGCCAGGTCATGCTCTGAGAAGGAGCGGTCCCGTTTCAGCGTCACCTCCCCACACGGAGACTCTTCTTCCTGCAGACACACCAGACGCAGCCCTGCCCTAACAATGCCCACCAGTGCCTCCTGCCCATGCCTGGACCAAAGCAAAGGACCCAGGGGTGCCGCTGGGTCTGCTGCGATGTGGGGCAGCCTGCACCCACTTCCCAGCCTGCCTGCCTCTGGGCAGTTCGTGGCAAGCACCCTAATAACCAAGCCCTTCCCCAAGGCCTTCTGGAAAGTCCTGGAAATTGACAGGTCTAGTGTCAGATGGAGGCAGAGCCCTCTGGGATGGCCCCCAACAAGGCCATCACCAGCCCTTCTGTGAAGAGAGAAGCATTCCATTCACAGGGCAGCCAGGGTGGGCAGGGAGCCTCGCTGGGACCACCTTTTCACATCAACTAGTGGGGGGCTCAGTTTCCTGGGCCTGAGACAGCGAGGCACTTCCACCGTCAGCCTTCCATCGTCTGTGGGAGGAGGCAGCCCAGGCCCTCTCCCAGAGTCACCCTTCTGAGCGGCCAAGATGGCAGGGTCCCCGAGCCCCACAGGCCTCCTCCTAGGGCAGGACGTCAGTTTCAAGGGAGGGCCCCTGGACAGGGGACACCACACTCGCTGCTGCCCCCAGCTTAGCTTAGCCCTTCTCACTTCCTTGGCCCCCACTCTCCCATTCCTGGTCTCTTTTCAGGAATACCCACGGGCTCTGACCTCAGATGTGTTCATTTCCTCCATCTCCGCCAAGGTGGGCGCCTTGAGCAGCACACGGGGCCGCGGGCGCTGGGCACTGCCCCCAGCGTCTGTGACTGACAGGTTGATACAGGAGGTGGACTTGGCATCTCCAGAGCAGGCGTTGAGGATGCAGGGCAGAGACCCAAACCCTGGGGAGACGGGAGACAAGCAGGACAGGCCAGTGAACGGGGAGACAGCAGGCAGGAGCTGACAGCTTTGTGTGCACCAGCTGGCTAAATTCCCTGACTTTGCAGAAGGGAAAACTGAGGGCTAGCCAGCCATTTAAAAAAATGAGGAACTAGGCCGGGCGCCGTAGCTCACTCCTGTAATCCCAGCTGCTCAGGAAGTTGAGGCAGGATAATCACTTGAACCCGGGAGGCGGAAGTTACAGTGAGCCGAGATTGTGCCACTGTACTCCAGCCTGGGGGACAGAGCAAGACTCCATCTTAAAAAAAAAAAGGAAAATGAACTCCAGCCTAGAGATCTGCCTAGTGTCTCAGAGGCAGAGCAGATGCAGGATTGGAGTTTGCCATCTCATGTAAGGAATGGTGTAGCACTGAAGGCTCTCAGTGACCTTTCACAAGGAGAATTAGGTCTCAGACATTTGAACAAATGCCTGTCTTGGGGCCGGGCGCAGTGGCTCATGCCTGTCATCCCAGCACTTTGGGAGGCCGAGGCGGGTGGATCACCTGAGGTTGAGAGTTTGAGACCAGCCTGGCCAACATGGTGAAACCCCGTCTCTACTAAAAATACAAAATTAGCCGGGCGTGGTGGCAGGTGCCTATAATCCCAGCTACTCAGGAGGCGGAGGCAGGAGAATGACTTGAACCCAGGAGGCAGAGGTTGTGGTGAGCTGAGATCGCGTCACTGCACTCCAGCCTGGGCAACAGAGCGAGACTCCATCTCAAACAAATATATACATATTATTTTAATTTAGTTTAATTTTTTTTATCCCCAAGTAATCTGAGTTTCAAAAGCCTGTGTGCCTCAAAAATTAAGATGTTCTGGGCCGGACGCGGTGGCTGAAGCCTGTAATCCCAGCACTTTGGGAGGCCGAGATGGGCAGATCACGAGGTCAGGAGATCGAGACCATCCTGGCTAACACGGTGAAACCCCATCTCTACTAAAAAAAATACAAAAAAAACTAGCCGGGCGTGGTGGCGGGCGCCTGTAGTCCCAGCTACTCGGGAGGCTGAGGCAGGAGAATGGCGTGAACCCGGGGGGTGGAGCTTGCAGTGAGCCGAGATCACGCCACTGCACTCCAGCCTGGGGCACAGAGCAAGACTCCGTCTCAAAAAAAAAAAAGATGTTCTGTGTCTTCCATGGGTTCAGGCGCCCTCAGGGAAATGCCACCTTCCAATGTGCAACCTGACCAGGGGAATGGGGGGCCCCACCAGGGGCACAGGGGTCTCTCTTCTCCCGCCATCCCTTCGCTCACCGCGGGCAGCCCAGCCCTCGCCCCGCACTGGGCGCAGCCTCCGCTCCTGCTTGATCTCCTCCAGGATCTTCTCATGCAGGGACCTCTGCTTCGGTGGCAACGGGCGCAGCCGCCTCTCAGAAACCTGCAGTGGGGAAGCAGGCCATGACACGGGCCCACTCTGGAGTCGGAAGAGCCGGCCAGGCCCACCCGGAGGGAGTGCTGCTCCCGGGGGCTCTGCATGCACCTGGGGTGGGGTGGGCATGGCTCACATGGCCCCTTCCCAGAAAGAGGGCCCAGGGCCACACAGCCCCAGGCTGGCCCACAGGCAAGAGGAAGCCAGCCCGCCTCACTCATGACACAGACGCGCTGGGACACCTCCCAGGCTGGCCACAGGACAGCACCAGGCCCCGGGCGGCCCCTGAGGAGAAGGAGGTGGGGCGGCACCTGCTTCAGTGGAGGCCGTGAGCGGATGAAGTCCAGGATGAGCTCGTGAGCGTCCTTCTTCACTCGGGGCGGGATGTCCCCATCCACCTGCGGGGAGGATGGCTGATCTGAGGCCCTGCAGGGACCATCCGCTAGAGCAGGGGGACTGGGAGAGGCTCGCTCAGCGTGGTCTTCACACCTACCCATCCTCCCACTCTCAGCTCGTGGGGACCCAGCTGCTTCCCTAGGAAGCGCACGGCAGACCCACAGGCCATGCTCTGGGCGGCCACAGCATCCACGGTCTGATGTGTCCCCTCCCGGCTGCTCCAGTCTCCAGCACCTGGGACTCATCTGGAGGTGGGGTGGGGTGGCACACACCTCACAGGGGCATCGTAAGAGCCATGCTGCCGGGCGTGGTGGCTCACGCCTGTAATCCCAGCACTTTGGGAGGCCGAGACGGACGGATCACAAGGTCAGGAGATCGAGACCGTCCTGGCTAACACGGTGAAACCCCGTCTCTACTAAAAATACAAAAAATTAGCCGGGCGAGGTGGCGGGCGCCTGTCATCCCAGCTACTCGGAGGCTGAGGCAGGAGAATGGCATGAACTCAGGAGGCAGAGCTTGCAGTGAGCTGAGATGGTGCCACTGCACTCCAGCCTGGGCGACAGAGCGAGACTCCGTC